GAGGCGGCCACGATAAGAAGCTTAGAGCATTATAAAGTAAAAGGAATACTTTGACAAACAGTGGAGATATAGTGACGCTTCTTTTACAGAATTTGTAGTGCGAATGGCGCTAGCAATATACGGGGTGGTTGATTTGCAAATGTGGAGCAACAAATAATATAAATTACATTCACCGTTAATCTGAAAGCTATGAGAGAGGATCATAATTTGGAAATTCTAAAACTGATGTTAAAGTTTATTGTTCGACAATACAATTTGATTAAGTTTGAAACTACTTAGAGCGGGAAGTTGTCGAGTTCATTTACTTTGATCAATATTTAATTTAGTTAATACTTGATATTAATTAACTAAAACATAAGCTTTGTGTTAGTTACTTACGGAAAAATTATTGACAATCTCCCTCTATTTGACTTTATTTTATTTTGTTATCATACCTGAAACTTTCCCCAATTCGTTTTGTAAATTGCTACTTGATGAGCAACGCCCCAACCCACGAACGGTATCCAGAAATGTGGAACGAGAAATACTATAAATAGTATGGCGTAGATGTAATCATCAAAGCGTTTGATGGACTGCAATATCTGGATTCGTTCATAACCAACTATTAGAACCACCGCCGTAGCCACAATGTAAAAACACACGGCGTAGATCGTCGCTGTGGACTTCCAGCTAAACGTGATTGTGCCTGTTTGATGATAGTAAAAGTTAAATAGGATAGCAATATCGTACTTATGACATCTATCATGTGGAAGATGCGCCTTAATGTAGAAAAAAATCGTCGTGAATACTTTCAGATGAAAGGTACCCTATGTCCTTTTTTCTACTCCTGACGACGTACTCACTTTAATAACATTAAATATCTCTTACTGGTGGTAGGACCTCTTGTGAGTCCGCACGGGTAGGTACCACCACCTGCCTGTTTCTGCTGTGAAGCAGTAATGCGTTTCGGCTTGAAGGGTGTGGCACCCGTTGTAACTATACTGAGACCTTAGAACTCACATCTCAAGGTGGGTGGCGCATTTACGTTGTAGATGTCTATGGGTTCCGGTAACCACTTAACACCAAGTGGGCTGTGAGCTCGTCCACCAATCTATGCAATAAAAAATAAAAAGTACATATTACATTAGTATAAAAACATACTATAGGTACTAGATATAATAATATTACTCCATATTAATTACTGCTATTATTATTTGTCACATGCAGTAACGTATCATTCACACAGAAAGTTTTCAATCGGTAGCCCAACGATGTAATAGGTTAATAAATTTTGCCCACGTTCTTGCAAATTAAACAAAGGCACAAAACAAAATTTTGCTACTAGAACTTTTAAACACCGACCGCTCTATACATTATGGTGTAAATTTTGATTGGTTCAATATTTTGTTTACCTGGACGAGACCTAGTGATAGGCATAACGGCAAGCGCTCGGAACAACACCAACAAAAGTTTGTGATCTCGATAAAATTGGTCGTGTATCTCACAAGTATCGCCGTCTTGTGATGACAGTAGATCCCTTTGTTCTTGTTCCTTTAAAATTTAAAAATAATCTTCGTTTATTTTACAGGTTTATTTCTAAAAGTACTTACCAATCGCTTTTAATGTTCGCCATGTAATAATAATTCGATAGAAATACATGCTGTAAGTTCGGGTTTCTCTAAAGAAAATAGAAAAAGTTAAAAAGTTACTCATGGCCTTAAGGACAACACAGCGAGGAAAACTTAACACGGAAAAATCCTCTACACGGCGATATGATTTTCTTCCTTTGCCTAGCCTTTTTTAAGTGGAATATTCTTAAAGACTTATTTCCGCATCAGGAAGGAAAAACAATATTAGAATGATTCTCAGGTGAAATAAAATCGCTACCAACAAAAGTTTATCTCGTAGAGCTTTTAATAACTATTTTTGCACGACTCATACAAAAACAGAAATATGAGACCGTCAGCGCAAAAGTGACCTAAGCTTACCATGGTTTATGGAGCAATGAGGTTTAAGTTTTCACGAATTTGAATTAGAGTAGGCAAAAAAAAAATACGCTCAAAAATAATGTTTACAAAGCCATCTGTTATCTATGGATCAAACTATGGACAGACCGGTTTTGCATCAAAATTTATTATATTTTAAATAAAATTTTAATATTTTAAATAAAATATAATATACATAATTATAAGGATTATTATTAAAAACTGTGGGTTAGGCCACTTTTGCGCTGACGGCCTCATATAGGAACTAGGTATCGCTTACATAATCTTTCTGCGTCTTTTCCTGTATGTTTCTATTACGTTGAACATGTCGCATGTCGTAATGCAAGAAGGTATTGTTGATGCCTTCTTCAAAAAGATGGTCCGGAATCATTTGTATTTCCCTCCTAGGTACAGTTACCTCTAACTAGATGAAGTGAGTACCTAATGCCCGTAACTTTGTCGTCGTGTTCTGAATATTTATTATACGTTCAAACACGAACTGACGTTATCGAGTTGAACCGTAAACATCTTGTAATTTTCATTAAATTTTAAAGTAAACGATGTTGTCGCTCATTGCATACAAAACGAGTTTGATATTACGGGTTAGAGGTAGTCAATGAATTATTCGAATTGTATATTTTTTATGCTAAAATCGGTTTAGATAAAATAAATTTAATTTTTTTATTATTGCATATACAAGTGAACGAACTCACGCCCAATCTGGTGTTAAGTGGCGAAACGCCTACTCATCGGAATACATTACTGGTTCACGCAGAAATATACCGGGTGGTGACCAATCATGATGTACGACCAACCCATACCGTGGGCCCCGAAGGTCAAATACTTAGGCGTCACCTCGACAGAGGGATGACATTCCACCCTCACATAAAGACGGTACGCGACCGTGCCGCCTTCATACTAGGACGCCTCTACCCGATGATATGCAGGCGAAGTAAATTGTCCCTTAGAAATAAGGTGACACTCTACAAAACTTGCATACGCCCCGTCATGACCTATGCAAGTGTAGTGTTCTCTCACGCGGCCCGCACTAACTTAAAATCATTCCAAGTTATTCAATCCCGTTTTTGTAGGATAGCCGTCGGAGCTCCGTGGTTCATCAGGAACGTCGACCTCCATGACGACCTGGACTTAGAGTCCATCAGTAAGTATCTGCAGTCGGCGTTGATGCACCACTTCGATAAAGCGGCACGACACGAGAACCCTCTCATCGTGGCCGCCGGTAACTACATTCCCGATCCTGCGGACAGAATGGAAAGCAGTCGACGTCGCCCCAAATACGTCATTTCGGATCCTCCCGATCCGCTAACGGTGCTTTTAGGTACCTCAAGCACCGGTCATCGTTCTCGTCGAACCCGTCGGTTGCGACGAAGGGCTCGACGAGTAAATTAACCCTCAGACACAGCCCACTGAGTTTCTCGCCGGATCTTCTCATTGGGCCTCGTTTCCGATCCGGTGGTAGATTCTGCGAAGCACGGCTCTTGCTAGGGTTCATGTCAGCAACGTCGTCAGGTTTGAGCCCCGTGAGCTCACCTACTGAAATAGCCTCTCAAGGCTCTCAGCTAGGTAGGAAAAAAAAAGAACTTGGTGGTGGTACTTATGTGTGCATACTCCGGAGATGCCCCACCATCGATAATTCCGCTAATTATATTTTTTGCGGTTTGATTTTTATTACAGGATATTAATCGTTAATCGCCGAAGTCATGCGTGAATATTTCGTGAACATGAGGACTTCAGAAGGGTTTAAAGTTGTAAGTTACTAAAGCGCTTAAACATTAACATGAATGTTCACTTTCCTTAACTTATTTTATATCTTGGATAATTAATAAATTAAATTGAAGCAACACTTAAAAAATATTCTATGCCGATGAACGGGGTCACAGCTCACCTGGTGATATAGATACCGGAACCCAGACATCAGTTAACAATGCGACAATCCTATCTCGAACGCCGAGTTCTAAATAAATAATATCTGAATAATAGTAATACAGTATGACAGCTGTCCCATCGTTCAAACCACACGTCCTTACGGATCCATCAGATCCAAAAACCATTAAATGCCTTTAGCTCTAACGCAAGCAGCAGGNTCACAGCTCACCTGGTGATATAGATACCGGAACCCAGACATCAGTTAACAATGCGACAATCCTATCTCGAACGCCGAGTTCTAAATAAATAATATCTGAATAATAGTAATACAGTATGACAGCTGTCCCATCGTTCAAACCACACGTCCTTACGGATCCATCAGATCCAAAAACCATTAAATGCCTTTAGCTCTAACGCAAGCAGCAGGCTCAAGGACCCCGGTAACCGTACTCGTCAAACTCGGCAGAGTTCGACGTGCAACCTAACCTAAATATCAGCCCGCCGACTTTCTCGCCGGATCTTTTTATTTATTTTATTGCTTATATGGGTGGACGAGCTCACAACCCACTTGGTGTTAAGTGATTACTGGAACCCAAAGACATCTACGACGTAAATGTCACTACCCACCTTGAGATATGAGTTCTAAGGACTCGGATAGTTAGTTCTCAGCGGGTCGCGATCCGTTGGTAGATTGATTCGTGAAGCAGTTACTCTTGTTTTGTTAGGTCTCCCTTGGAGGCGCTCGCGTAGCAGTTAGCAAGTCCCACCCCTCCTGACTGCCCCTTTGCTCGCCCACCTGTCCTGATGAAACTGGAAAGGCCTCCGGGCCACCAGTAATACCTCATAAAAAAAACCTTCAAACTGAAAATTAGAAATAGCCAAGAAAGCGGTAACTACTCGGACGGTATTACAATACATCCTAAAACTAGTGAAAAATACACTAAAATTAAAAGCAATTCAAAATCGGAAATGTTTAATTTGAAAAGTATTATAATGCATATTCGCTTTATTATTAATATTATACTCTCTCCGGTGAATAGCCAGACTTATTAGTATAGGATATTCCGACTATAATACTTTATCACTTTCAGTTAGATGAAATCACTGTTTTAGTACAACACAGGAATATGATTAAATAAAACAAAACTCCACAGTGTAATAAATATAATATAAACAAGATACATCACAGATTCAACATTGTATGTAAAAAAATGTTTTATTTATACGGAAATTCAATATAGTTTTTTTTATAAACAAAACTCGCAGTCGGCGTCGTAATTCTGTCAGATCATTTGTACTCTAGTATCGTAATATTTAAGAGAATCGTATCAGGGAAATTATAATTTTCTACATTTTACCTTCGCCGCTCCGTACGTGTTTCTTTAATGTAAATTAAAATACAAAAGCACTTAATTTACTTTACTAAGCTTATATGTGCAATTTAAATATTAGTAATTTTATAACGAATAAAAAAAACACAATACAAATACTCTTTATTCATTAAGAAAAAAAACAACGTTGAAGATTTTTTTGTTGCTTAGATATTCGACAAAATGCTTATTTTAGTCTCACTAGATGTCAATGACCCGGAGCGCATCCACATCGCAACGCGAATGCTACTACCCACCGTTAGACGAGAAGCTAATCTCAAATAGATTTGATAAGGAATATATTATACGGCCATCTGACCTTTTAAGGCGGAACGCATAATTGCTTCGTTCAAGATATAGATGGAATTTTAGTGCCTTCCCGTGCGGTCTCACAGTACATATCGACGCTTGAAAGGCAAACGTGACTAAGCGACAATGCGTGAACTTTACAGTAGACTAATTTAAAGTTGAAATACCTGAAAAAAGTTATATTTTAACGAATCTAGCTGTAGGATTGAAATTATTTTAATAGACCTAGAAATATATTTTTTTATGTGCATCGAATGTGGTTAATGCCTATCATTTATGTACAAAGCAGTTATTGTCGCTTAGTCACGTTTGCCTTTCAAGCGTCGATATGTATTTAATTTTACAACAAATATTTTTATATTTGAAACGTTAACTTTGATTCGTTTTTCAGTGTGTTAGGTATTGGCATAATATCATTCTTATACACTTGCATGTCCATAATGTGGTCCGGGATTTATGATGTCTTTAACTTTTAGCAGCTCTGTTCGCGTTGAGTGACCATAAAATCTCACAGATTTACGATATTTTAGATTTGATCGAATTTCTGTAAAATAACTCTTAATAATAAAATAGAAATCTTTATATCAATAATTAAACTATTATTTTATTCATAAAGCAGACAAATTGCAATGCTTCTAGCAGCTTATCCGAAATTACATCTAATAATACATTCAAAATCAACAAGTTATTAATATTTATTCTGAAGCATCCGAATTAATTACAGTAAATCTAAGCCCGTGACCGTTCACTTAACTTACTATAATATGTAGAACATAGTTGAACATACATTGCTATGCTATGTGGATTTCAGTTTAGCGAGTTGTGCCATTATATCTTTGTCGGCGTCTGTAGTTGATTGTCCGATTTTGTTCCGGGAAACTGAAGGAGCGTCTGCCATCTGTAAAACGAATAAATAAAAATAAGAAAAAAAGTACAGAGAGCAAGCGAAATTGAATTTAATGACTTCAAAAATATGAATTTGAATTGTTCAATTTGAAACTATGGGTATTAGGTCTCGGATTTAAATGTTGAAATTTTATTTTGATGAGAAACTATTGGATCTTTAAGCTTTAGAAAAAATAATTGACACTTTTCCTTTCCGTTTTCTATAAATTAAAAACAGTTCTAAAAATTTGTCTCTAACTGAGTGCACTATAAAAGTGAATCAACATCATTTAAAGATTTTCATTACTGTAATTTTTTACTGAATTAGAATTTTAAACAAACATAAGTTACCTTCCCGCTGATTTCTATACCGATCTCATCCAGCACCTGGTTGACAATTCCAGCAGATTCTTCCTCATCACCAGATTCGTCCATGATATCATCTAGTGTGTCTGAAACTGGAAAATATCCAAAGTTAGTACATATTATTTTTTATTTATGTAGATATATTTATGCACAGATAAAATCTACAAAAAAAACCTAAACAGACAAAATTCTTCTCTCAAAGATTCAAAGGATTCCTTTAAATAAATATGTAAACTACTTGTGTATCTTCCCTATTCTTAATACTGACAAAGTGTACTGCAAATTGTCATCAACAATGATGTTTTATTGAAAGTTACATCATTTGTTATTCGAGGTGAACCCACACAGTACTCTTTGTTGTTTAGTGAACTGGTTTAATTAAGATTTCTGTTTTGAATAGAATTGTTAAAATCAGTACTATGAGTATTGACATTTAAATTTTTTGTTTTTTTCATAGAAATTAGTCAACAGAGCCCATATATAGGTACGACCTAGTACCCTCAGAATGTTACCTCTATCAGTCTCTTCAAAATTATTTAGGTACTATTAGGGTAACGTCAAGAGAAGACTTTAAAAACTACTTGTAGTTTTTTGATCAGACCTCTAAAAATTTCGACATCAATGCCATTATGACACTACCTCTAAAATGGCAAATTATGATAATAATATTTTTAAATTATGGAAAAAAATACGAAAGCAAATTAATAGACTACAATAGCTACCTAGAGAAATAAAATGGAAATATCAACTGTCATACTAAATAATAGAACCTACAACAACAACAACATAACATTATGCACTATTTCTTTTAGTGTACCTTATCAGTTCCAAATTATAAATCAAACCTTATCAATGTAATAAACTTTTTGTCAAGAATAATGTAGTTAGAAATTAAGCTTACTCATTTCATCTGTCATATCCATTTTGGCATTTGCCTGTTTGAATGCCTCCATATCCTTTGCAATTTGATGTGGATTCATGACCTTATTTATGTTGCCCATCGTTTTAGCTGTAGTGCCCATTGCTCCTGCAATAGCAATATTTGCGCCCATAGCTTTATTGTGGATCTGTACACTTGATATCTAGAATCAATCATATCTTAAGTTCACAATGAGGTATGATAAATGAGATATTAACAAAATTGTGACAGTTAATGTAACACTTGGTCATAGAAATAGACCCCTAAATATTCAAGGAAATCATACAGATTTCTGGTATAGGCAAACACACATTCCAATTGTTAGAAAACAATTTATCTGGTTAATTTTGATCTTCATTACTGTAACACATTTTATGTATTTATTTTATGTGTATTCGGAATCCAAGAGAAATGTGACGTACTCTTTTAAGTTCAGTAGAATGCCTTAATGGTACTAGGGCTAAGAGAAATATGTGTAAGCCCCAAGTTAACACACATTTCCTAAATATGGTCTGCTTTCTACTCAAATCTAATAGGGGTAGTTCTCAGTGATTTATGTACTTATTGCAAGTGTATGCCCACACTCACGGCCATTTGTGAGGTTTGTATATCATACAGGTAGACCTTCACACTAAATAGTGAAGCTCTTTTGCAGTGCAATGCAATTGAGACTTCAACTTAATGTCTGCAGAACTGTGGACAATTTACATTGTGATGTTTATCTTTGTCTTTTTTTTATGAAATTTCTTATGTCTTTTTGCCCACTAGCTGTTAAAAAGTTACTAGAATGTCTGGACATTGAAAAGTAAATGCAGGACCCACCCAGATACAAAATATTTTGATGCAATGCAATAAGGTACATAAAAAGGACAGTAATTGTAGATTCTAAAAGTGTGGATAAATACCCCTTTACCTTGCTATTTGCAGCATAAATTCTGTTTTTCTGTTTTCTTAATTGAACTAATTGTTTGGCTAATATTTTGCAACCATCATTGTTACCTTCTTTAGCCATTTTCTTTATTTCCATTTCCTGAAAGTATTATAAAATTTCATAAATTGGTAACCAATTGGTTCAATTATTCTTAGTCTCAATTATTCTTAATATTCTTAGTCATTCTTAATCTCAAAATTGTTGAATTGCCTAATTTATTAATTTTGGGACAGCTCTATTCCAAATGTTTATTATTATTTTAGTAGTGTGGTGATGAGGTTAGCGCTTTTTCATAGTTATTTTTAAAGTTCTAGAATGATAAATTGAACATCCTATCATATTTACCAACATTGGATCAAATACTAGAGATCTAGAGTAATTGATGAGTCATAGTTAACTACTGTAAGTACAATGAAATTAATATACAGCTACTATTTACTTACTAATTTCTTTTCTTCCCTTTCCAGGTTAGCTTTATCTCTTTCCAGGTCGCGACCAGCCTTTCGTAGGTCACGGTCATTTTGCCTTTGAATTTCTATAGAAAAGATAATTCTATGAAAAACCGAACCTGGTTATTACTTATATTACAGGCAAAGATCAAATGTTATTTGAAAAAAAAGAAGGAAAAAATATACGTAGTAAATATTTCGTCTTTGGCACATATATGGCATTTTTTTCAAATTTAATTTAGTAGAACAAAATCGAAAATTTAAGCTAATAATGCTTGATGTCCAGTGTTCTAAAATTTTGCCTTACCCTTCACGGTTGGAGCTTTACTAAAAAAATTCATCATAGTTTCCTTTGTATACAATTTTTGGAATTTTTTTGCTAATTTTGTTTCTGAAATGAAATTTAAATAAAAAGGTGCAGAGCGTAAAATAAATTAGGAATTCATTTCGTCACCTTTTTAACAACCACAGATTAATATATTTATATACTTAATTGACAGCTCTTGAAGTTTAACACAGATTAACTATTAGATATTTGTTCTAAGGGATTTCATAACCTGGTAACTAAGACCCTTAAGCCAAGTCTTATTTCAATTTTAATGAAAACTTTATAAATGAATAATGATATGAAATCTGTTAATAAGGTAAAGTTCGATGAGCAAACTTATCTATGATTGTCTGTGCGAACTGATATATGTCAGAATATAATGTTAATTTGAAAATTATAAAATACTATTGAACTACTAAATTGTTTCTAATTATGCACGTCCTAACAGGTTATGGGCCCAGGACGCTTGCAGAAAGTGAAATAGAAATGATTTAACGATTAATTGTTTTAATAGGCGTAATCAGTTGTGTCAATTATTTCCTGATTTTTTGAAGTTGAAAAAACTTCGAAATGGCTTCTATAAAGATTGATCGACTTACGGGTGATAACTATGACACCTGGAAGATTCACATGCGAGCTATTCTGAAGAAGAATGATTTGTGGGAATACGTATCAGGAAAAATACCGAAACCAATACATTCAGATTCTAAATATTCTGAATGGAATAAAATGGACGGAAAAGCCGAATCGGACATATTGTTAGCTGTCAGCCCGAGCGAGTTAATTGCACTNATGACACCTGGAAGATTCACATGCGAGCTATTCTGAAGAAGAATGATTTGTGGGAATACGTATCAGGAAAAATACCGAAACCAATACATTCAGATTCTAAATATTCTGAATGGAATAAAATGGACGGAAAAGCCGAATCGGACATATTGTTAGCTGTCAGCCCGAGCGAGTTAATTGCACTGGATGGTTTAGACTCCTCCAAAGCAATATGGGACAAGTTGAAATCTATGTATGAGTCAAGCGGGCCAGCGCGAAAAGCGTCATTACTAAAGAGACTTGTATTAAACCGTATGCCAGAAGATGGAGACATACGAAAACATATTTCTGATTTTTTCGACTGTGTTAAGAAGCTTAAAGAAATCGGATTGATAGTGATAGATGAGTTGCTTGCTATTTTATTACTTTATAGTTTACCGGATTCGTTCTCAATGTTTCGAACAGCAATGGAATCGCGTGATGATTTACCATCAACTGATGTACTGAAAGAAAACGAAACGAAATGAAATGAGATGAGATGATATAGGATGAATTACTTATAATCTTAGTAAAACAGTGACCATTTGCTGAGACTTTTCAGTGGACCTTTTGGATGATCACGAGAAGTTACGTTCAGCTGCTTTGTTTCATTTTCCCACATTTGTGTACTTTCACAGATAATAAACCACCGTTAATACACATTTAAACCTGAAGAAACACTAAACAGACAAAATAAAACAAATCACACAACTTCACTCCTCGCGTTCCCGCCAAAAAGTCCATTATTAAAACTTTTTTTAAGGGATTTTATGATCTGGTAACTATGACTTTTAAGTCATATCTTATTTTAATTTATATTCATATTTTTATGAAAAATGATATTATGGAGTGAAATGAAATGAAGATGATTAATTTGAGACATTAACAGACAACTGGGATGAAATGAAATGAAATGAAATGAGATGGTATGGGATGAAGTATAATCTCAGTAAAATTGTGGTCATTTACTGAGACTTTTTAAGTGGCCTTTTTGGAAGATCACGACAAGTTACGTTCAGCGGCTTTCTTTCATTTTCTCACATTTGTGCACTTTCACAGATACTAAACAGTTAATAAACCACCGTTATTACACATTTAAGCCTGAGGAAACACTAATTAGACAAAATAAAACAAATTACACAACTTCATTCCTCGAATTCCCGCCAAAAAGTCCCATTATTAAAATTACATTGCTATTATCCATAGATAATCCACTAAATTATATTAACTATAATATATTGTATAGGTCTACCAGGATCTGATGGAAAAAGGGAAAAAAGAAATTGACGCTAACAATATTGGGGAAATTGGAGTAAAACGTTTTGATACTTTTTTTCTTATAGCGGCTGATTCTGTGTGATACATGCAAATATAAAAATTTATGCAATGATCAATGATAATTTTTGAAAATCTTGCTGTGACGAATATGGGATTCGAAATTTAAATGAAAACTCCAATTACTCTGTTCATGAATTAATTAATTAATGATAGGCTATCAGAACTTGAAAATGGACCCAAATACAGCACATCCATAAAAAAGTCTTCATCAGAAGAGGAAGACGAGGAAGGCGCAGTATTTTTGCCACCTTTCTTTTTTTTACCGGGCGTACTAAATACGCTTCTGTTAGATCTGCCTTCAGCAACAATTCGTCTTATGGTAGTATTCGAAACACCTGAAATAAACCAAAGTTTAGTATTCATAATACACACGAAAATGCAATAAACCAAAGTATCAAGACGTGTCATTCCTACTAACCAGTCAACGCTTGCACATGGCTCAATATCGATGATTGTGTTTGTTCTGCACCTTGTTCATCAAGTATTCTTTGATAAACATTGAAAACAATATTTCTTGCTTGCGATCGAAGGTTTCTTCAACATTTAAACCACTCTTTATAGGAAATTTGAAGCCAAACCAAAAACAATTCCTCGAAATTTCAGTTTTGACAGATGCTATTTTTTTTGTTGCCATATGAAAATCGCTATTTTTTTCCCTTTTTTTGCCATCAGATTCTGGTAGACCTATAAGCATTTCATCATTGCCTATAAAACCTTATTCTATGTAATGAAGATTAAAAGTGGTGGTTTATACTAAAATCACTTTCAAGCATAACTATAGTTATCGTAACGTTTTTGATAATATTTTTTTACTGTCTGTCGAGGGTGACGCCTAGGTACTTGACCTTGGAGGCTCACGGTATAGGCTGGCCGCAAAAGGGTAATGGGGCGAATCGGTTTTACAGCGCCTATTACGGAATGGGATACTCGAAGTGGTATCTGGAGAGCAAGCCCTTTTGAAAAGCACGGCTGTGCTTTTCATGTTTGATGTCGATGCGCCACTTCCGGAACCAGTGTCCAACCAATGTTAAGCGACGAATAAACCACAAACTATTAATTATAAATAAATATAATGTAAACTATATTTCGAGAAATGTAAAATCCTAAAAAACGTTTTCCTAACCAAGTTCTCACATTGGTATCTATCTATATATTTTACAAGCGGGCTTAAAATAAGGGAAACGTTGAGCACAAAGCTAATTTGAAGTCTTAGATCTCATGTCTTCTGATGATTCTAACTAGCGGTTTTATTATTTATCAAAATTTCTTAAATAGGTAACAAAATTGTAAAAATTAATTAAATTGAAACAAGAAATAAAAGTACTTTTAATGTCCGTTACAATTTCATACCTCCTGCTATGTAAAAACAAACGAAGAGGGAAGACGTGAAATAGCAGCGTGACGCACTTACTAAAAATAGCTAGGGTATGAGTTAATCAGAAACATGAATGTACTGTAGGTATATTTTATGTCCATGGTGTCTATATTTTTCTTAACTATTTGAAATATAGTATATTGCAAACCGGCAACGTAATTTATAAATTTCGACCCATCTCCAATTGGCGGCAATCACGGTGTGGTCTCTATTGGGTTTAATTTTTTTTAAGGCATAGCCGAGTGATCTTACGCACTTGGGTGTTAAGTGGTTACTAGTGCCCATTGTAATGCCCCTTTTCCAACTGGAAACGAGATCATAACTCAATTGTACAGTAATTACGAAAATCTTATTTTTAGCAGGTAAAATTTTCATGACACGATTTTATACCTTCATCGTGGAAGTCATTCGTCTACATATACGTATTTTATTAGGAAAATTGAAATGTCTGCAGGACTTAAACACCAGAAAAGGCACATTGATCAATAGGACTACACCAGGCTTCGCGATACTGATAATCCCTAAGCCAAAGCTAAAACTAATACGCGATAATACGGCAAGAGGACCGTAACTTCTAACCTTAGCACATCTACACAAAATAACAGAAATATGTTGAATTTTAGAGTAAATACTTAAAATTGCTTTACAACACCCTTTTTTTGTATTGAGGCGGTACATCTTAAGCGAGTATCGAAGTGTATAATATACATAATATTATAGAAATGTTTTGGCAGTAGAGGTAGGTAATAAAACACATTTTTGTAATTCTTTATTTATTTTCGAGAGCAAAATCGAAATTTTGTTTTGGTCACTTCATTTTTATTAACACTCACTATACATACATATAAAATACATTTATTTTTTGTGACATGAAAATGAAAATATAAAATTTTCAAAATGAACTTTAAAGATATATGTAAAAAATAAAAGTTTGAAAAGCATGATTAAAAATTGGTAGCGAAAAGACCAAACTAAGATTTAATAAGATTTATGAATGATTTGCACGTGCATTTTTGAAGTTTTTTTTTGGGGCGAATTATCATTAATTTTTTTGTAACAATTGCTCACAGCAGAGACGTTAAGCTAAAAGTAAAATGAAATATGATTTAAGCGGTGTCGCGTGAAGGAAATGTAAAACATTAAGTAAATCAACCTATATCCAAATAGACATGAACAACACTGACACAAATTGAATAAATAAGTCTTAAAGGGTTTATTTCACAATCGCCAAACACATAGCAGCATATTATATAGAAGCTAAGTTGTTGAGTTTTCTTCATAGCTTCTGGCGATCAAAAAGGTAAATTTTAAAATTTCCCTGAATTAAAATGAAGGTCAATCAATTGGAGATTATGGAACAAGTCCTTTAGTGACATTGAATTAAAATTATTTTCCTCTAAATATAACTACAATAACAGCGAGATACACGAAGTACAACTTGGACGGAAACAACACTAGGAAATCAATTGACTTTACTAAGAATGTTGAATGTTTATGTTAATTGCAAAAGAAAAAAGTGTAAACAAAATGTGATGTTAAAAAGATAAAAAATTACCTAAAGTGGTATAAAAACGAATGTAAAATTATTTATACAAGGTACATATTTTATTATGAATGTGTGATACGGAGATTCACCAGGACCAGTTTGGTTTGAATGATACAAACGCCCACTTGTCTGGTAGCCCTCGATGTGTGTCGTTGACGAAATCGCTTTTCGACCAGTCGAAGGGCTGGACTATGTTCTTGTTGAATTCATCCAGCGTTTCCTGTTTCGCTTCTTCTATCTGTTGTTTCACGAGGTCTCTTATCTCGATACTGTTAATGGTCGGTTGATTATCAAATTCCTTTGTGTAAATCGGTGCCAGATTCCCTTTGTTGATTCGAAGCTCTGTTGCATTAGCTTGGACTTCTGTGTAAGGCGGCCCGGACACAGCAATGAACTCTACAGGTGTCTTATTCCAAGTTGCTGAAAAAGGAATATAATTTCATTGACATAGCATATTAAACATAAAGTAAAACTATTGAAATAGTAAAATAAATTAATTTAATGAAGGAATTTGACGTACGGTTACACGGCACAACGAACACGTGTAAGTCAAGTAGATAATCCGTTAGAATTTATCTTTAATTTTATTTATTTAGGAAACTGACAGTACAATACATCCATATAGTACAAAGTTTCCACCATTAACACAACATATGAGCTACGGATACTGAACACAAATAAATAATAGAGTTTAATGACTTAAAATTTACAAAAAGTTTTAAAAATAAAACAATACATGAGGCTACTTCCCCGTCAGAGTCCCACCGTTGCTTGTGCCTCAGTGCTGATAGCATCTTGGATCTTGTCTCTACAATTATTTGTTAATGTGATTTTCTTATCTAATGGACTGGATTGTCTAGTCTCAAAAATAATTTTTTTTTTCCGTAGTTACTGACGATCTTTGCTCTCTGGACATGAATTACGTCATTCGCGCGAGTGCCTAGATAACTTACACGAATTGTACTTCTCTTTGTGTTTTTTTTTTACTTTTTATTGCTTAGATGGATGGACGAGCTCACAGCCCACCTGGTATTAAGTGATTACTGGAGCCCATAGACATCTACAACGTAAATGCGCCACCCACCTTGAGATATAAGTTCTAAGATCTCAGTATAGTTACAACGGCTGCCCTACCCTTCAGACCGAAACGCATTACTGCTTCACGGCAGAAATAGGCAGGGCGGTGGTACCTACCCGTGCGGACTCACAAGAGGTTCTACCACCAGTTTTTTATTTATTGGAAATTAGTGATGTATTACAACTTACCGCAAATAATTTTTGTATCGATAATACCGTATGGCTTCTTATGATGGTCGACGATGTCTCCTCTAACTCCCATTACTGTTGAATACCCACTTGCTTCAAACTCATTAATGTCACCAACATCCACGGTATCGTTCTCAGAACGATGATTTTCAGTTAAATTGTTCTGTCTCATTAGTTTAATGATTTCTTCGGCGGTCGTTGCATTTATGTAACCTTTTTGGAAAATGACAGCTCTCGGTGATTCGGTTTCCGAAAATATCTTGCCGTGCAATGCCTCCATTTTGTTGATATGCGTTTTTTCAGCTACGTTCTAAAACATTTAATATTCGTTTGAAATATTTTGAACATATTTTGTTAAAACATAAATTAGTCGTAAAAATGAATAGCATTGTAACTCATTTAGCTAAAACTAAGTTACAATGTTTTTCGCTACACCTGACGGAAATGTTCTTGACCGAGAAATTTAAATACCGTAATCAATTAATTTAGGTTAGTAGGTCACCTTTTGTATCACGATGATAACTTTTAAATATGTGTGTTGATTAAAGTAATTAAAGAGTAATTATAATTGTTTTAAAATAGAGATGTGCTCACCAGTAGACTAGCTCACGGTTCTGCTGCTAATTACAAGAACTTATTGACATCAAAGTGAATAACACATTGTGATATTAAGTCAGCGTAATTGTATATATAGTGATATGTACACTTTCGGACAAGTTCAATTAGTGAAAATGATGACAATTATATTTTCTTTTGACTTACTTTGAAGAAAGGCAATCCGTACGTAGCCCAATAACCTTTTTCAAAGAAGGCATCAGAAATATCCGCAGAGTGCGTGAGCCCAGGGACTTGTTCCACCAATTCCACCAGGCCTTTGCCATGACTGTTGTTAGATCGATATATCGTGTGTTTTACATCACTAAAACAGAAACAGTTGATTGTATGCTCTTCGTAAAGCTGCTATTATCTTTCATAAAACTAGCAGAAATAGTTGATTGTATGCTCTTCGTTTTTTTTTTGGCCAAGGGCTGAACCTCCAACGAAGTCCCTGTGCCGAGGTTCGTGCGGCTTTTATGAGGATACAAAGATAGTAGCGGCCATCCACTTAACGACTCTCCTTCACTATGCTAAATGCTCCTAAATTATCCTTTTTCTATGTTACCGCAAACCTTGTCAGGCAATCCTACTGTTTCAAATTCAAAATCTACAATATAACTGCTTGCGGGACTTTTTGTAGTGCTTTACTATATGCTAACCTAGCTACCACCAAAATTGATGCAAATCGTGAGGCTCTGTATTCATAGAATCAGTATTATGACAGTTTGACAACGGCACTCACAGATTTCTCAATAAATGAAACTTCAGTTCAAAAATAACTCTGAGGAAGTCTAATGTTTTTTTTTATAATGTATTCATTTTTATCCGTGTACTTTAACTTACAATGAACACAATTGTAGACTGGTACACTTACTTTGAAATTTCGGTGACAACTTCACTGTGTCCGTGCCTTTGTTTTTCGTGGTGTTCAGAAAGGGTATCGAATCTATTGAGGTCGACGATCAGCCACTGCTTCGATGCGGATCCGGAATTGTTTTTGGCAATGATATGGCCCCAAGAGCTTACGTTGGTGGCCAGATGGTTCGCAGCAGTTATACGAGGTCCAGCGGGAACCTAAACAAAATTGTACCTTTTATTGATATTAAAGTTTTTATTTTTATTTTTTTTATAGCTTTGATAGGTGGACGAGCTCACAGCCCATCTGGTGTTAAGTGGGTACTGGAGCCCTAGGGTCCACAGACATCTACGACGTAAATGCGGCACCCACCTTGAGATATAAGTTCTAAGGTCTCAAGTATAGTCACAGCGGCTGCCCCACACTTGAAACCGAAGCACATTACTGCTTCACGGCAGAAATAAGTAGGTACGTGTATTGTGCAGTCGTCTTTTACGACACCGACAGGAGAGATGGGGTGGGGTTATTTTATGCGGACATCTAGTTTAAGGCTGTGTGATGGTCTTGAAAGTCGTCGACTACTTTGCGACAATAACTTTAACCAGAAAGCCACACATGAACCGGAAAGCTGGATTCCTCTACGACAAAAATAGAGCAGGATAGTACAACAAAATTACGGGTTCGCAACGGGTCTAATCTATTAGCAATAACCAAAATAAAAATAATAAAAATCAGGAGAAAAATCACGCAGGAATATGAGCGAAATAATGTTACATGCAGCTGATGGAGAAGAATAGCAGTAGCTCGGAGACGCGTGACCTTCGATCAATAGTACTATTATTGGTCGAAGTGCGTGACTATATTTTTCGAAATAAAATTTTGCTCATGTCAGTTCTAGAAGCGTTTTTAGGATCTGTAATTGAATATGCAATTTCGAAAAGGGCACATGTCGCATATTTTGTCAAATACGTTTTTTCATATACATGTAGTTTTGAGGCTTACCTACACCCATTTTATAATAATTCCAGTAATTTTCAATTGCTAATTAACACTAAAATATATCTCAAAAGTTAATATTTAAAATTTTACACCGCTTTAGAAAATAATCAGTTTTTTTCATTTCCTAAACATTTTACATTTTCAGAGATGTGCCCTTTTCGAAATTGCATATTCAATTGTAGCATTTAGAAGACCACGAATGCGAAAAGTCAAAAAAAGTCGTCAGCAAAATGCATGACATAAATAAGTCTCTGAGACCGAAGTCAAAAATATTGTTGCATTATTAAGATATGCCAGTCAACCTATTACAGCTCAAACACAAACTGATCAGAGCGCGTAGAGCAAGCAGGCCAGTTCTAAATCAAAATTCACATGAACATCAATTATATTAAACTCACTTGCTCAGTAATGTTGACTTCCTGCCAGAGCTTGTTATTGTAGTTTCTCAATGCGGTTCCAGCAACTGCCATTCGATGTTTATTCCCTTTCACAAGATAGAACTCGTCCTGGCTGGTAATAGATCCGGGGTAACTTGAAAAATCGATCGACGTTCCCGGTACCGATTCAGAGTCCTCCTTTGATGTCTTGTGATAGTTCAATTTGTATCTCTTCAAAATTCGAGTCATCGATGAATATCTGAAATAGAACGAACATACATACACATGGATTGACGTGCGTTTTGAATGTTTGGAGAAGTGAGTGGTCTGGCGTTTTCCACTGAGTGGTTTATTTTGTAATTTGTAAGTATCAATTTAGATAGCAAAACACATTAATGCGGAAAAGTTATTTATTTTTGCAGTAATAGGTACGCGTAAATCGTCCATTAGGTAAATTAGAAATGAGCAAGTAAGTAAATAAATTAGGAAATTAAGAATTTATAAATATTTAAAAAAAAAAAAAATTTTTTCAACAGAAAGTAACAAAATTAACAAAATAGCATACCGCCCAGCTGCGTTTTGTGCCATAAACAACTTCGGGCCTTCATCGCCTGTTCCATTGACGATTCTCAAGAAAGCACTTGAGATATCAGGGATAGACTGCAACATCTCATCTTCCAATGAAATGTTGAGTTTGTGCTGCAGCTCTGTAACCTCGGCCACTGAATTCAGCCATAATAGGTCAGAAATATCACTATCGTATGGTTCCATGCTGCGTTCTATTCCATGCCTCCATCCGGTTAGTATCCCATTTATTTGAGTGTAATGTAAAGACACCTGATAAACGAATTACCAGTTCAATTATTGATCGTTCAGAAAAGCGAAAAAATTAATACCGTTAAAATTAATAAATTTTACTGGTGGTAGGACCACTTGTGAGTCTGCGCGGGTAGGTACCACCGCCCTGCCTATTTCTGTCTTGAAGCAGTAATGCGTTTCGGTTTGAAGGGTGGGGCAACCGTTATAACTATACTGAGACCTAGAACTTGTATCTCAAGATGGGTGGCGCGTTTACGTTGTAGATGTCTATGAGCTCCAGTAACTACTTAACACCAGGTGGGCTGTGAGTTTTTGAGGAAATTTGCGCTCGCGATTCTACGATGGTCTTAAAAGGGTAGTCGCATGTACAAAGCAAGGCACGAACTAATATGTTTTCAGTTTGTATAAAAGTAATGTATCGAATAGAAACGAAACAGAAACGAAAATTACACATTCACGATTTTTCTAAGTTTATACGTATAGACATTGAAAAGCTATTTTATATTAAACTGTAATAATGTATTATAACTTACGTGGTGCCAAAATGGATCGATATCAGAAAGCTCCGAAGCGCGATTCTTCCAAATTTCAAGCGATCTCGTCAAAGCATCCCTAAGTTTGTTGCACTGTTTCTCTATAGGTGTATTGTCACATTGATATCTAATAGTGTTTTCTAAATGTGTGTGAATTAAGTACCAGGTCAGTGCCCCTTCGACGATGCCTGCCGCATAAGCTTGAATCTCATCGTGATACGAACCTTCAGTTTCTATTTCCAAAATTGACCAACTAAAACAATTGGAAATTATGAATTTAATATCTTAATTCGATCTGACTTCAGAATCAAATCAAATCAAAAAAATATTATTCAACATAAATGAAAGTACATACTTGTTGAACGTCAAAAGAACTACCGCCAATTCACAAGAACTAGCCTCCGTCCTGAGAAGAATTGGCAAGAAACTCAGCGGACATTTTTTTTTTTTAAATATTAGATTATTTTTTTAAATATTAGATTATTTTTAAATATTCATTTGTCATCATCAACATCAATGTGACTGTTTGAGGTAGTGCGGTGATTTTAATAAATTTTTTCATTCATTATTTTACACGTTATTTAAAGTTTACCAAGTAACCAAATGAGCAGCTGCGATAATATAATCTTGGGTCGTTTGTCAAGTACTCACCCTGTCGTATCAATGTCCATTCGAAAATAAGCACGGGCGACTCCTTTAGGGATCACGGCGAGGTCGTTGCTTTGACCCCAATATTCAATGTGATATCCTGTTTTCTCCGAATAAAATACAGTGGCTGCGTAGTTACCATCCTCTTGACTTCTACAATGTTAAATTTATAAAAAAAAATTGTTTTATACTATGTAGTGATACATTCTGTTATGGTGATTCCTACTTTTTATTACCAAATGACTGATTTACTTGGACCATTTGATTTGTCCTCGCAATCCAAATAGATTATAGACATATTGAACTTTTTCTGTGGCTATCATGTGACTACAAAGCGCCGCCATGATTGTTAGCTTCGGTAACGAGTTAACATCAAATGGGCCGTATATTCAAATACATAATGTATTGTTTACATCTTCATCGTTATCCTTAAAACAACTTTGTTTGCGAGAAATTAGTTTATAACAAAATGGTAACAATAGAATTCTGATGGAAATTATTCTTGCAAATTGTATGTGCTAGAGTTATAAACAATTGATAACAGGGAAACATACTGCGAACCAATTATAGTAGACGCATTAAGATGAAGTACAAAGTCTAGCATAAAACATTTCCTTATTACTCGCAGTAATGCGTTTCGATTTGAAGGGTAGGGCAGCCGTTGTAACTATACTTGAGACCTTAGAACTTATATCTCAAGGTGGGTGGCGCATTTACGTTGTAGATGTCTATTGGCTCCAGTAACCACTTAACACCAGGTGAGCTGTGAGCTCGTCCACACATCTAAGAAAATAAAAAATAAAAAAAATATTTACCTTTCCATCTGTCCCGCAAAAAGCGCCAAGATAGCGAGTACACCAAGTATACCCAGGACGTATGAACTAATTTTCGTTTGCAGCCATGAGGCGCCCACTACTTTCAGAATCTTGCTCATCTTCAGCTCGAGTTGAAATAAATAATAAACAAGATAAACTAAGATATGAAGAAGATGTTTAGGAATTTAATAATAATGAAGTGACAATGAGTGTATGTAATCTTTTCTAGTGGAGAAGTGACCATCAAAGAGGTTAAGGGACCAGGTTGTTATGGTGATGTTGCTCCAACGTCTGGGCCCGGAGTCGGCATTTAGTGTTATTTTTGCCGCTTTATTCTTCTGGGTAGACACCCGTTTCGCACTTATGTTCTTAAACCCTGCAACGGAAAAGGAAACATTAAAATTACAACTTCAACTTTCGGATGAGGTTTTTACTTCTTACATAGCTTTTTAGTGGTCGTTGTCCTAAATCTAGTTCAGCGTCACAAAACATTGCTTCTATGCCACTTTTATTTTCATTATGTAGACATTAATCCTGAGATATGGGTTTTAATAATGAATGGTATAGTAGGTACAATGCGTAGGTAATGGCTGCCTCACCCTTCAAATGCACGGCTGTTTTGCGGCAGATGTAGGGTGTTGGTACTAACTCCTGCTTGCTTGCAATGACTAGTGATATAAGTATAGTATTAAGTGATTAAGGAAGCCTATAGATTTAATAACGTGAATTCCACATTTAGGAGTGATTTTTGAACTCTGGTGGTAATACGTCTTGTGAGTCCGCACGGGTAGGTACCTCCACCCTGCCTATTTCTGCCATGAAGCAGTAATGCGTTTCGGTTCGAAGGGTGGGGCAGCCGTTGTACTGTAAAAATTGAGACCTTAGAACTCATATCTCAAGGTAGGTTGCTTCATTTACTTTGTTGATGTCTATGTACTCCGGTAACCACTCAGGTGAGCCATGAGCTCGTCCACACACTTAAGCAATAAAAATAAAATTAAAATCTTATAGATTTTTCTCAAAACTACGGTTGAATGTCTTACGACAGCTTACTCTATAGAAATAATAATAAAAAAAATCTACAGTATGGTATCACGGTTGGCCCACCCGTTCAAATAAAACGTATGGCTGTCTCGCGACATAAATAGTTTTTTTTTTTTTTTTTTTTTTTTGNGCGCGATTACTACAGGACAAAGAAAAAGCACAACAAAACAGAAATTACGAAAAGAAACAAAACAAATAAATACTTGCAGGAAACCACTTTGTCGGCAGATGTACCACGAACACAGAAACAACAAAAGGAAACAAAACAAATAAAAACTTCCAGAAAGAGCACTTAGTCGGCAGATGTACCACAAACACAGGCCGCGCGAACAATGACATAAATAGGTGTGGTGATGGTATCCGCCTGTGTGAGCTCACAATACGCATCAATATATACGTTGCAATGTTTATCGTAACCTATTATTGAAATTGTTATTATAAAACTATAAATATGAAGAACAACAACGAGTTCAAACTGTGTTTTAAATACTATGTACATTAAATGCTATGTCACAACATAATTACTATTTATGTAGCTTTACACGATAGTACTTTTTTTAATAGAACATAATAAAAAATAATAAAAATTTGGTTCAAATATTCAAAATCAGAATAGATGTTTGTTACACGTACCAAAGCGTTTATAATGCAATAATCATTGATAAGGAAATCTAATTCAAAACGGAATATTTCAATAACTTAGTACAATGTTAAGAACAATGGGAGGATAAATTGTAATAGTGTCTGTCTACCAAAATTAGCATTATCAACAATCATACTTGGAATAGAAGTGATGGAAAATAAGACAATAAGAATGTGAGTTTTGTCCGAAAATTGCCTTTTTCAGAAAAACAACAAAAATATTTAGTTCTGCATAAATACAAACCTATAACAAAACACATGTAGGACACAAATTGAAAAGCACTAAACTTTATAAAAGTAGAAATATTTTCATGTAAAATATAATTTAAATTTAACAGAAGCACTTTTCTAGAATTATTTTAATATTTATAACACGAGATTTACGTGTTAAATTCAAATAAATATGTTGATACTTTATGTGAGTTCTTGCATTAACTGGTAAATGTTCATAGGCAGGCAGGTAGATATAACGGTTATCATAATATCAATAAAAGATACTCTAATGTTTAAGGATTGCGTCTCCGTTATCAAAAGTAAGTAATTACCCTAACAGAAATGGAGAGAAGTGAATTCTTTGCTTTCTCTATAAAATAACAAAGTATGCATAATGTTTAACTTTTTCAATCCCTTAATCTTTTCAAACTACTAATTGATAACAAAAACGTGAAGAATAACTTCAGCTTTGCTTTTCGATATTGTGCTATTTTCTGTCAAAAACACACAAGATTTTTCGTTCACACGTTTTCAGAGAGCAAAATATATTTTTTCCGTTGCTCTGTTAGTCGTTTTAAGTTTGTTACAAGTCACTACATAGTATAAAACAGAGTCGCTTTCTCTGTCCCTATATCCCTATGTATGTATAAATCTGTAAAACTACGCAACGGATTTTGATGCGGTTTTTTTCAATAGATAGAGTGCTTGAAGAGGAAGGCTTATATTTATAATAACATCCATTAAATAGTGGAGAAATCAATAATAAATTACAGTTTCCGAAGTGAAGCGAGGGCGGGTCGCGAGTACGAAATTATTTATTGCATTAAATTACTTAAAAAGAAACATTTAATTGTTACTATTTAATAAAACTGACGGCTAGAGCAACTTTTTTGGGTGAGGAGTAAAGCGTCGTACTTCCAGCTAGCCGTTCAGAACCGTAGCTCCTTATCGTTCAGCAATCCACGTCCGAACCTCGGATGAGACAGAACGCACCCGAGGCAGACCGGGGGCAACGTCCATATATCGCTACCACGTTGCCCCCACTAGACGCCGAAACGACGGAAATAAATAAACGCGAGATTAAACTGTGAAATTAATTTTAATTATATCTACTACTCGCGCCTGCCGTAGAAAGTACTAATACTTGTCATCATAGGAATTTCAAATTTTGTGAGCTAGTTATAACGAAAACAACTGACGAACATAGATTCTTCTGACAGATCGCGGTTTTTTTTATATATTTTTTATTGCTTAGACGGGTGGACGGGCTCACAGCCCACCTTAAGTGGTTACTGGAGCCCATAGACATCTACAACGTAAATACGCCACCCATCTTGAGGTATAAGTTCTAAGGTCTCAAGTATAGTTAAAAAGTAGATGTCGCGGGTGTCTTGATTTTTTTAATCGTGTTACATTGCGTATGTACTGTTAGAAAAACCTTCAGTAAAATATAATTTTTCGATGTTTCCTCATTTTTGGTGAATGATTTGGGTGTTGTAGCGGGAATCTCTAATGGTACTGTTTGTCTTCATTTAGAGATCAGTTCGAATTTAGATACCGGTAAAAATGAATGAATACTCATGATCTTGTTCATTTTGTGTTACAACAATGTATTCAAGGGTTAAATAATTTATCAATTGACCATATTGAAAATTTATACCGAATACACATGTAATGATAAAGGTGTGACATATTCAAAACACGTACAATAAACACGCTAGATTTATGAACATTTTCCAGCACAATGGACAATGAAAAGAGCCCATGGAAACATGGACTCATATAACGATTATACATTCATCAAATTGATACAATGCTTTGTATATAATGCTTAAAACTGAGGGATTTCCGAGAACCGCTATGATCGTAGCCTAAAATAGGAGCAGATTTAAGATACTTCAAACACAATCTTGCAAAACGATTTAATGCATATAAGATTCTGAATTATAGCTTACTGTAAAGACGTGATTATATGCGAATTCAGATTGTTTATTCGTGATCGATTTAAAAACTACGCGATATTGAGGTTTATCTCTATTTGAATAATCGAGTACTCTAATCTACCTAAATATCCTTCATATCATAGTTTATGACCTAAAAAATCACAATTACATGTGTATAATGTAACAGCGTTTAAAGTCGGCTCTTGCAATTTCAGACTTTGACAGTTTTGTGGCCAAAAGATATTTATAGCATCACTACAATTAGTATGAAGCGTATAGGTGCGAATGTACTCAATGTTCTAATTTAAGTGCTTCCGTACTGTCATCATTGTAACTCGAACCATCGTGTTTGTCATAAGAAACAAAACCTAGCGCCATAGTAACTGCAAATAACGCTCTTTTTGTCGCCCACTGAGTTTCTCGCCGGATCTTCTCAGTGGATCGCGTTTCCGATCCGGTGGTAGATTCTGCGAAGCACTGCTCTTGCTAGGGTCAGTGTTAGCAACACTCCGGTTTGAGCCCCGTGAGCTCACCTACACACGTTAGGGAGAAGCTGAAATAGCCTCTCAAGGCTATCAGCATAGGTAAGAAAAAAGCTCTTTGTGTCCTGACTCCCGAATACATATTATCATTTTGTACACAAAAAATCATGCCCAAATAATAAGCGGTACTATCGAAAACATAATTAAGTTGATAGGTACATGCGTTTAGAAATAATTAAGTTTCTCCACAACATCAAACATTTGACTTACGCGATATCAGTGGACGAATGGTAAACCGCATGTGAATCTCGAATAAGGTAAATATTTTTTGGACGCGAAATAAAATTGTAATTTCTCGTTAACTGTAAATATCTCACCGAAATAGATCCAACATTTATTTGCGCCGGAGCTATTCTGGCAGCTCTGTGTAAATTTATGTTATTTTATTATAAATATTAGAGGAGCTCGAATTCGCGAAGAGTATGTACGTCCGCGGAAAACATAAACAAATCGAATGTAAATCAATATTAGCCGGTGCGTTCTTCCACTTATAGCGAGCACATTTGAATTTAACCAATTTTATGATGATGCTCTCGCGCGTAAACTTATTTTTGCACACCTCTTTAAAGGTTTTCCAGTGTACTCGTGTTTGAAACTATTTTATGAGAGCTCATAACTTTAAAACATTGAATATTATTCTTCTTACATTGACGGGATTCCCCTGGAACTGTGGATATGTTTTTTCAAACGGTATCCGCTTTGCTCATAGACATTTCGTCTCCGAGTATAGACAATTTAATTTCAACGGATAGGGATGTGGCACTATCGATCGTCTTAGTTAATTAATAATGCTTAAAAAATTCAAATGTTAAGATAAATTTTACTTTGTATTTAAAATATACTATTGCAATTCCTACATTACTCTCCTTCGCAATCTTAAGAAATATAAGTGCCTATATAGGTACATATATCCAAAGAGGCCGGTAATAATCCCTGCCTATTTAGGGTTATAGCATACATATCAACTCGGAAAGGGATCGTCATCGTATCGC